CGACAAACCACAAAGGGTGGAATGATACAGATTTAATGGCACCTGTCCCCTCCCTGCCACTGCCAAAAACATGTATTGGAATCTGAACCCATAGGGTTAGAGTTAGGATGTTAAATCTCACAATCTTGCTGTAGATTAAGATTTTCATTCGTATGTTCATGAAACTCTAGGTAGCTCACTCTTTCATTGCCATCAAGTCAGAACTGACTCAGAGATGACTCGCCAGTGGGTTTTTGGAGACTGTAAATCAAGCGGTAGGAAATTGCCAGTCTTTTTCCAAAAGGGCAGCTGATGGATTCAGACTGCCTGCCTTTGTGTTGGCAGCGCAACTCCTTAACCACTAGGCCACCAGAGCTCTTATGCCCAGGTAGAATGAGATCCAAATTGGATCAACTTCAGGTCCCAAGAAAAGAAGATTACACACACATGTGCACAACACACAGGTGCCCTTTCATCGTTCAGGTTGGATTTAGATTGGATGAGCTCAGGCTGATTTTGAATCTTGTGGACTTGTTTTTAATTTTTTTCCAGTTTCCATTTGAACTTGCATATGAATAATGGGCATCAGCCCCTGGCCTTGTTTCAATTGCTAATATTGAGTTCTCCATCATCTCTTTCCTCGGATGGAGTCACTTTGATTCTTGTATATTCAGACAGGTGAGGTCTATGTGCATAGTCACCCTTTATGTTTTTGACAGTGTGTTTAGGGATTCTGTTTCCTATTTGATTTATACCAAGACTTGCTACAGAACCAGCACACATACCTTTTCTCTGAGTCTGTTTTGTGTTTCTGAACGACAGTTTGTTCCTGCCTCCTTCAGCATGATGAAACACAGAGAAAGGATAGATGATTCATTTTTTAAAAATGCCAACCTATGTATTATTTAACATATATAATTATGTAATGACATATTACATAAATAGTACATGCAGTATGCTACATGGTTTAGAGTGTTCTCCTCCTTGGAGGCAAGGATTTTGAGGCAGGCTTCAGAGTTACTGTGTCTAAGGTTGCTATGAGTCATAGACGACTCAAGGCCACAGAACAACAACACATGAAGAAGGAGCCTATTGCTTCTATTTTCCCTGTCCCAGCTTATAGCTGGCTTCTTGAAGAAGAATGTGGCATCAAGCTTGGAAGGCTCATCAACAGCCTACAGTATGTGGATGACACAACCTTGCTTGCTGAAACTGAGGAGGACTTGATGTGTTTGATGCAGAGGGTCAAGAACTACAGGTGTCAATATGGATTGCATCTCAACTTTAAAAAAACAAAGATTCTTTCTTACCACTAAGCCAATTAGCAGCATCGTTATAGATGGAGAAGAGATTGAGGTGGTTAACAATTTCATCTTGCTCGGATCCACAGTCAGCACTCTTGGTACCAGCAGTCAGGAAAGTCAAAGACTAGATTCTTTAGGTAAGGCTGCTGTCAGGGACATCTCCAGAGTGCTAAAGAGCAATGATGTCAGTTTGGACTAAGGTGCACCTGATCCAGGTCCATGGTCTTCTCAGTTACTTGCTACACATCTGAGAGCTGGACAATGACTAAGGATAAAAGAAGAAAAATCAATGCCTTTGAGTTGGGGTGCTAGAGAAGAGGTGTACATAGCGTGGACCACCAAGAAAATAAATAGGTCTTGGAGAGGGTGAAACCAAATTTCTCCTTGGAGGCTAGGATTTTGAAGCTCCATCTCACATACCTTGGGCCTGTGACCAGGAGGGACCAGTCGTTGGAGAACGACATATACTTGGAAGGAGAGAGAGTCAGTGCAGGAGAAGCAGACCCTAGATGAGAAGGACTGACACAGTGACTGTGGCAGTGGAGCAAGTGTATTCGAGATGATGAGATTTGCTCAGGATAGGGCAGGGTTCAAAGCTATTTGTTTTCAGAATCGCTATGAGTTGTAGTCTGCTTGATGGCACATAACATACAGATCTTTCTGTACACTCTTGTTGTTATTATATTGAAGGTCACTTCAGAGAGTTTTTTAAAATTTCTCAGGACAGTAGACTTAAGGAGTCCTCCAGTCTCAACTGGTTCTGTACATCTGGAATTATTAAGAATTTCCGTTCTTATCCATGTTTTTCTCCCATTGTCTCAAAGCCTCTCTGTTGTGACCCTTGAATGGTCAGATTGACAGCCAAGCACCACCTGATTCTTCTGGTCTCATAACAGATGAGGCCGTGACTCGGGTAGGATGTTAATTCTGTGTCTAGTTTTTTCTCTGAAACATTGATTTTCTTCTTTGTCTTTTACTCCTGAGGAGTAGCTTGCTTGAAAGGTTACTCATATGTTTCTAAGACCCTAGACACTATCCACGCCGGAGAATGAAGAACATGAACTTAGTGGTCGATATGATGATGACTGACTGAATTATCCCATGAGAATCTAGTTCTGGGTCTCCAAACCCAGAAAGTCAGTATCACAAGGTGCTTGGCTATGTCTGAGAAGGGACTGTGTCCACTATGAACTTATATGTGTACACACATGCATCTAAGTGTATTCTGTCTGTGCACACTGATGTGTGCATCTGTTCGACCCCGGCACATGCGTGCTTATACACAAATATATATGATCATCGAGTTGGTTGTTACTGTTATTGTGAGCAAACTTATGGCATGCTCTTTAAGGTGTGTTCATGTCATTTTCTTTAAGGGGTGCACTCAAGTATCTGTGATCTAGAGAGTCCTGTCCTCTCTGCCCTGTCCCCAGGTGTATGCAGTGACAGCTGTGACAGCAGAAACCTGACTGGGTTTTCTATCCCTGCAAACTTTAACTCAGTGAGCACTCTGTAAACACTCATCCTCCCTTCTGCCCCAGCTGACTGTGAATAAACTTTGGTCTCTCTAATGTGCCTCTTGTCATTTTATAAGTTAGACAGGCGATATTTGCCCTTTGGACTGACTTCACTTGGCAAACTGTCTTCAAGTTTCAGCCATATTATATCGTGTACCAAGACAGTTGTCTCCCTTCTTCTCCTTTCCCCTCTCCTCCTGCCCCAGAACAAGAAATTTTATTATCTCAAATGCTGGTGCATGACAGAATACAAACTTAGAGGAGAACAGAGGAAAATATCAACATACTGAGATGGATTTTCGTACAGATGTAAAATCTTTACAAGATTGACAATATAATCATTCAGTCGTTTTTAGGTACAGCTTTCCTATTACATGACTTTTTCACCAACTGTTCTTGGAATTCTGCTAGTATTTTGTGCATGAAACAAACAAACAAAACCCAAATTTTTCTAAGTGTTTAACAATGTTAGATTTTAGAGTCAATGTCTAAAATTTTTAATGAAGGAAATATTAATTTTTTACTTTTAAAGTGGTCATAATACAGATTTTCTTTTCTTTTTTTCCTCTTTTTTACTTATTAATTTTAATGAAAATTTCCAGAGACTTAGGGTTTCCATTAATTCACTGTTGCATTTCCCCCCTGCCCATCCCTCCCCCATTCACTCTTCTCTTTGAAATGTAAAAGAAAAATTCTTTCATTGTTATACAATCCTCCCCCCAAGTCCACTCCACTGTGCAACCTTCATTCAATACAGATTTTCTTAAATTATAGATCATACTCACTTTATGAATTATCAAAATAGATGTATAAACAAAAGTTAAGATAATCTTGGAGACTCATAAATATACAGGGTACTGATACATGCATCTTGGAGTATGTGCATCCTTTTGAGATTTAGAAGACTCTTTACTGATATTCTTTGGATTTCTAAGCTGTAAATTGCACAGGAGGAGACTGCCCATCATTCTCCCACAGAGTGGCTGGTGGGTTTGAACCTCAAGACAGGTGCCCTCAGTCTTTGGATTAGCAGTGGAGTACACCACCAGAGTGCCCCTTGAGATACTGAAGAAAACTCAAACTATGTTATACTAATAATTTAGTCTTTTTACAAGTATGGCATGAATAGATTACAAAATCAGAGTTTTTAGTAGACTTCCAGTCCAGATATTTAAGATAGATACCTTGTTATCTGTGTTGTATCATTTTAGTCACTTTCCCCTCACCATGTAGTTACTATCAGTAAGCTCCTTTATTTACAGTTTATCTTGTCCATGCCTTGTTCATGCAGCACTGTGCCATACAGTGAAGCCAGTGCTTTCCCCAGTTCAAGGAAAAGAATATCAAAATCGGTCTGAATATCAAAATGAAAAAGTATGAGTGTTTCAGAAAAATTAGAATTAGCACTGCTTTTTTTTACAAAGTAAACGTTATAAGGATAAATTTTAACTATTTGGGGAATTATTTCTGAAGCTATTGGGCAAAGACTTATTCACTGATGGGTTTTTTGTTTTTTTTTGTGTGTGTGATGGTTTTTGTTTTTAAAAAGTTTGTGTTACTTAATTTTTCTATTAGGAAAAATGTTACAGTGGCCTTTACCTCTGGCCCTGGATTCTTGAATTTCTGCTGTTCTTCTGGGACACAGAAATGGCACTAAAGTTATCAGATCAGAGTTTAGAGAGGATGACTCAACTCCTGTGACAATTTCATGTACAGAATACATTTATCTCCTTGTTCACTCCTGTTTCATTTCAGGCAAGCCTGGATTTACAGTAACAACTAATCTGTTTCCCTTTGGAAGAATTGAGTTTCTACCCACACACTTTTTTTTTGGAGGGAGTAATTTTTATTAATACTCTTAATTATAATTCTACAAGTAAAAACTATTTATGTTAATAGAAGCAGTCAGACGTCAGCATGATCTTAATGGAGATAATAAATTATGCGGTTTCTGGTTTTTATTGATATGATTAACTTTATTTGAAAATGTTATGGTTAACAAGTATAATTGTGTAAGGTCTTGCACCATGCTGGGAATTATTCTTGACATCTCTGTCTGACTTCTACCTTTTGTTTGTTTATATATATGGTGTTTCATGCATTCCTCAATTCACATTGTGCTTCACAGTATCATTCGCATACATAGTGTTTCATAACATCAGTCACACTGATCCATGCCCACTGACTTCTTTTCTTCAAGGACTCTCTTCAGGGGATGGTGCACCTTCCATGCTGGAACAGACAGGAGGTGCAGCCCCATGTGCTGTTGGTGATGACGAGGCTGAAGTTAATGCTAACGAGCAGCCGGAGGCTCCGAAGCTGGTTCTGCAGTCTCTGTTCTCCCTGATACGAGGCGAAGTGGAACAGCTGGATTCCAGGGCACTTCCGCTTTGCCTTCATCAGGTACTACTGAAACGCTTTGCTTGACTTTTGACTTCACTACAATGCTGGTGCCAGGGTCTGCAATAATCTGAAATCCAGTTGTCTATGATTAATTCAACCCCATCTGTCATTCGTAAGCCTAGAAAGAAGCGGGCCTAGTCCTGTGGATGGTAGGAAATTTGGCGTTTTAGTTGTGAGAGACCATCTACTGGTGGATAATCTATAATTCAGACAGTGAGTTGGCTCCTTATCTAGTAATGAAACTGTGATGCATAAGTCGCTGGATCGGGACTGCCAGTTGGGTGCCAAGCACATTACGAGACACTGGAGAGAGATGACTTAACACAGTATGCTCTTGTGCAGTGGTCAGAGTCCCCAGCTGCAAATGAGAAGGTTTGCATTTCCAAGCCATCTCTTCATAAAGGTTACAGCCTTGGAAACCTTATTGAGCAGTTCTGGAGTCTGGCAGTAGTACAGATTGAGTGATGAACTTTATCTTGTGGGCAAGGAAGGAGGCTCTTGGGCTGGGCTTTGACACAGGCATAGGAGCTTGGTGCTTGAGCACCACAAACTGGTAGGTGAAGGAAGAGCAGGCTGTGCACAGGGCTGGCTGGATGTTGTTGGAGATTAAGGTGGAAGAGAGATAAAAGGTGAGACTGGATGACTGATGACATCAGGGCTTTACTTTCAGGAGCTGGGACTTTTCAATTTATGAGAGTGCCAGCATCTAATTGGGATTATAAAAATAATTACTTTTGCATTTGGGAATGGTAATTAGAAGTTTGAGAACCTGGAGCCTAGGAGGCCTTTTTAGGACAATAGTGAGCACATTTTTTTAACAAGAGGAAAGTATTTTATTCCATTAAGTAATTTTTTAACCTAATTCAGGAGAAATTAAGCTCTTATTTGAATTGCATTTTATTATTGCTAAAGATGAGAATAGTTGGTACATGTTGTTACTGTGTACTATCACATCGGATCCCACTGGGGTCCAGTGGGTTTTCAGAGGATCTAAATTGCCCAGAAGGAGATTACCTGTTTCTCTCATGGAGCAGCTGGTGGTTTTGAACCACATACATTTAGACTGGCAGTGAAATTCCTTAACACTAAGCCACCAATGCTTGATTGGTCTGATTCAGGACGTGGTCTTCCCAATCACTTGGTATGCATCTGAGAGCTGTACAGTGAATAAGGATGACAGAAGAAGAGTTGATGTCTTTGAGCTGTGGTGCTGGAGAATAGCATTGAATATCCCATGGATGGCCAGTAGAACAGTGAATATGTCTTGGAGAGGGTTTAGCCAGAGTGTTCTTTGGAGGCAGAGATGAGGAGGCTTTGCCTCACTCACTTTGGGCCTGTTTCTAGGAGGGGCTATTCCTAGGAGAGGGGCTTCATGCTCAGAAAGGCGGAGGGTTGGTGAAGGAGAGGAAGCCCCTCGAGCAGGTGGATTGACATGGTGACTACTTAGATGGGCTCTAATAGCTCAGGAAAGTGTAAGGATGGCACAGGATAGGACAGGATCTGTTGTTCATAGGGTCCCTATGGGTCTAGCTTGTCTTGACGACACCTGACAACAACCAGCCCCAGAGTGCCCTTGGTAATGAGGGGGGAGAAGGTTTTCTTTTTTGTTTTAACTCTGGCAGTGAGCTGTGAGTAATACTTAATTTTGAAAATGTAAAGAGGGAAACGCATGCATCCTTACAAACTTCTATTCCTTTATGGGATTTTAGAGCCCCTTAGAGAACACATACACTTCCCTTTTGGTCACTGAAATGTTATGTCTTCATGGTGGTTGAGAAGCACGAGTAGCACGGTGACACTCTGCATTCCTTACCTTGTGCAGTGATTTCAGTGTGCAGTGAGTCTTCATGCTCCTTATGATGCTAAAATGAAATGTCATCTTTCAAACTATGTAGAGAGGTGAGGATTATCATTGTCTATCTGTAAATGAGAAAAGCTGAGGCTGCCTCATGGAGGGAGCTCCTGATGTCTGTCCCTCGGTCACTGCCACAGGCATAGCGACCCTCCATCAAGTTTCTGAGGCTCTGAGTCATGATGGGAAGAGACTGCCCATCCTTCTCCCGAGGAGCCACTGATGGATTTGAACTGCTGGAGATGTGAGGCCTTTTGAGTTAGCAAGTGCAGCTCATGCTGGGCTCATACCAGACTCTTCCCCCCCCCGACCCCCACTTTTATGACACCAGGGCTAGAATTGGCTTATTCCATTCTCTGATTATATTTTGAAACACCTTGAGGGAAATTTTAATATAGACTATATATCATGATAGATGATGAAGAGATTGGATTGTTAACAGCTTTAACTTGCTTCGCTCCACAATCAACACTCTTGGTACCAGCAGCCAGGAAATTAAAAGACTAATTGCATTGGGAAAATCTGCTGTCAGAGACCTCTCCAAAGTACTGAAGAGCAACGATGTCAGTCTGGAGACTAAGGTGCGCCTGATACAGGTCATGGTCTTTGCAATTACTTGGTATGCGTCAGAGAGCTGGACAATGACTAGGGATGAAAGAAGGCAAATTGATACCTTTGAGCTATGGTGCTGGAGAAGAGTATTGAATATACATACCGTAGACTGCCAGGAGAACAAACAGGTTTGTCCTGGAGAGGGTGAGACCAGACTGCTCCTTGGAGGCAAGGATTCTGAAGCTTCATCTGACATACTTTGAACATGTTGCAAGGAGGGACCAGTCCTTAGAGAGGGACGTCATGCTTGGGAGGGTGGAGGGACAGTGCAAGAGAGGAAGACCCTCGATGAGATGGATTGATTCAGTGACTGGGATAATGGGGGTAGGTATGTCAAGACAGTAAGATTGACACAAGATAGAGCAGGGTTTATGGCTGTTGTACATAGGGTCACTATGAGTTGCAGACGAATCAACGGCATATAACAACAACAATATATAATGATATTATGACAATATTAAGTTCTTGGGATCAATAATGACAACATATTTAAGGGGAAGAAACAGATGTTTGGCAAAATTTAACAGAAAACTATGAGTCTTGCTACTACTCTTTGAACTTTTCTGTAAAATTTCAATGAAAGACAAGATTTGAACTAGAAGCAGAAAAAGCAAATATGGACAAGACTTAAAGGCAGTAGCATTACTGTATCCTTGTAATGTGAAACAAATTCTCTTTTTCTATTGGCTGTTGATCCTACAGTAGAAGCAGAGCTAGTAGAAATCATATTTTCAGGCATAAAGATTATAACAATCTAGATCTGACCTGAATATGCTTTAATTTTTGTTTCCAAATCAAACTGCAGTCCACCTCTCAGGCTCATGTCAGTTGGCTGAGCCTTATAGATTATGCGTCATAAATATCTCAGCAGTCTGTTCTCTTAGCAAAGGCGCTTAGAGAATACAGAGGTGGTTTAAGAGTGTGGTCTTTGGCTCTCTCACTAATAAGCAAGGTGGCTTTCAGTTTCTTCTGTAAAATTACCGGGGATTAAATGTAATAATGAATGTTAAAAGCACTTTACATAGTGTTTGGTACACGGTCAAAGCCAAATAAATATGAAGCGTTACCACTGTTTACTCACTGCCACCACTTCCAAGATTGCTTGCTGGAAGTGAAGGCAGAGCCGCTGAGAGAGTAGGTCAGCAGAAAAAGCTAATGGAGACTCTGCTCAGACTAAGAATAAAAATCTGTGAACTCCCCAAGGGGAATAATGGAATTATAGTATATTCGTTTAAGTAAATCCCAGTCCCCTTCACTCTGCCTGTCCCTTAGATTCACTAGTTGTTGACATTTTACCAAGTTTGTTTCTCTGTGTGTGTGTCTCTCTCTCACTCGCTCTTACGCACACAGACCCACTCACACACCCTTTTCCCCTGCATTATGAGCCTTCATTCCTAAATGCTCATATGATCTTTTTCTTTCGTGCCTACCACGAGATTATCGATTCCAAGAAAAAAGACAGCAGCCTGGTGATATTATTACTGCACATATTCTGATTTCTCGGAAATGGTTCTTTATTGCTCTTTTTCCTTTCCCGTAGCATGGAGTGAGGGTTCACACCTTGATGAAGAGGGTTCCTCACCACCCACTTGCTTTGGAGTGGCTCTGACTTGAGGCGGCCCAGAGCATGTCAGTAGAACTGCAGGTAGCATTTCCAGGGCCTGTTTTTCCAAAGTCAGCCTGACTTTATTGAGTCATTTCTGAGGAAACCTTCACTTCTAACACCTTTGTATCAGCACCTCTGATTAACACCTTTAAGTCAACCACTCACTTTCCTGCCAGAATTACATTGTAAAGGTCACCAGTGACTCCAGTGGGTCAAATCCAGGGGCTGAGTCTCCATTTTCACTTCAGTGGTGTTAATAGCAGTGTTTGACAAGGTAATCTCTTGTTCTATTTTTAAGGACTTTCCTTATTTGCCCTTTGGGACACCTGTTTTATTCTGTCCTCACTAACAGTGCCATTTTGTCAGGCCCATTTGCTGATTGCTCACATTTTACTAGGACCACTTTCTGAGTCCCCAGACCTCTCTCATGTGGTTTAGAGCACCAGTTAAGACTGTTCATGGTCTACACGTCCGTTGTCCCTCAGCAGTTAGCCTGGCCTTTTCTTGAGGGAGCAGAACTAAGTCAGACTTTTTCTTAAGACCTTCAGCAAGTCACCTGTTGTTATTGTGTTGTTGAGTTGAGCATGACCCATAGCAACCCTATGAAAAAAGATCTGAACCCCATTCTATCCTACACCATCCTCACACTTCCCGTCACACAAGAGCTTATTGCAGCAGTCACCGGGTCTATCCACCTGGTTAAGAGTCTTCCTCTCCTTCATTGACCCTCCACCCTTCCCAGCATCATGTCCCTCTCCAAGGAATAGCATCTCCTAGCAACATGTCCAAAGCATGTGAGGTGAAGCCTCATCATTCCTGCCTCCAAAGAGCATTCCAGCTGCACCCTCTCCAAGACATAGCTGTTCATTCTCTTGACTCTCCACAGGATGTTCAGTGCTCTTCTCCAGCACCACAGCTCAAAGGTGTCAATTCTTTTTCTGTCATCCTTATTCATTGTCCAGCTTTCAGATGCACAGCAAGTAATCAGAAAGACCATGACCTGAATTAACTCACCCTAGTCCTCAAACTGACATACTACTCCTCAATAATTTGGAGAGGTCTCTTAACTGCAGATTTTCCAAGTGCAGTGCATCTCCTTATTTCCTGACGACTGGTACCAAGGGTATTAATTGTGGATCCAAGCAAGATGAAGTCACTTATGAAATAGAAATTAAATAAATGTGGTTTTAAGGTCTCATGTGATATGACATATCCCAGATTTTTAGTTTTTAACAAACAAAACTCAATGGCACATAACAGCAATAACATACCAAGACAGGTTTGGAAGCAGGAGTGGCATCCACTTCCTAAACCACATGCCTTTGGAAACTCTATGAACTTTGATAAATGTCAGTAGTTGTTGAGAGGCTTCAGGCCTTTTGTTCAAAGGGTCACTATGAGTTGTGCTTGACTCAAAGGCAGTCACCACCAACAACAATAAACAAAATATTTTTTTCACTTATGTTATACTTTTTAAAGCCTCTGTGTCTTTTCCCTCATTCTTTAGAATTCTCACTTATAAACTTTAGTGAGTCAGTGGAGTTTTCTTTGAGCTGAAATACTGAAGAACAAAGTCATAGAAAAACCAAGGAGTGTGCCCTGGGCCTGTTTGAGGCGTGTGGCTTCAGAATTATGTCCATGTTTATACTCACATTTCTTCTGGCATCACCACATAGGACTTTTCATAGTTTGATATAAAAGCCTTCAAGTTTCAAGATCTTAATTTCTACCAGTTTGTCTTTTCATTCAAATGTTAATTTCATTTTCTTTGCTTTTTTTTTTTTTAACAGATAGCAGAGTCTTATTTCCAGGAAGAAGACTGTATCCTTTTCTTAAGTACAAGAAGAAATTAATAGAGAACCATCAATTTTATTTTTAAATTGAGGTATACTTTACACACAATTAAATGTATGAATTGTAGGGTTTTGATAATTGTATTCATCCATGTAACCGTCACATAAAACAAGATGTAAGAAATTTCTATCATCTACAACTATCTACTTTGACCATTGATAAAGAAAGAAAATTTATCAAAATCTACGTATTTGTGGGTCTGGTGGGAAGCACATGCTGCTGGTAGAATATGTATTGTAGTTTCTTTTAAGTTAAATACAAGTTAAGTCATATTCATGTCCAGTGTTTCTCAGGTTGTAAAGCCATGATTGTCTTATAATGGTGGTGCATGTCCAGCCAAGTGTGGAAATTATTGAACAATATCACTCATAGCATAAACAAGCAAGATCCTGTTGAAGATTATCCAAAAACAGCTGAAATAGTGCATCAGCAGAGAACTACCAGAAGTACAAGCTGGTTTCAGAACAGGCTGTTGTACTAGGGACATCATAGCCAATGTCAAATGGACTTTGGCTTAAAGCAGAAAAAAACCAGAGGAATGTCTATCTGTGTTTCATTGACTATGCAAAGGCATTTGACTGTGTGGATTACAACAAATTGTGGCTAACCTTGAGAAGAATAGGAATCCCAGAACACTTGATTGTGCTCATGCAGAACCTATACTTGGACCAGGAAGCAGTCCTCAGAACAGAGTAAGGATACACTGCATGGTGTAGGATCAGGAAAGGAATGCATCAAGGATGCATCCTATCTCCATACCTTTTCAATCTGTATGCAGAACAGATCATCCAAAAAGGCTGGGCTTTATGAGGAGGAATGTGGCATCAGGGTTGGAGGAAGACTCATCAACAACCTGAGCTATACAGATAACATAACTTTGCTTGCTGAAACTAATGAAGACCTGAAGCATTTATTTACTGCAGGAAGTCAAGGACTGTTGTTCAGTATGAATTGAAGTGCAACATCAAGAAAACAAAGATTTTCACCACTGGGTCAATTGGCAGCACTATGATAGAGGGAGAAAAGATTGAGATTGTTAACAATTCTACCTTACTTGGTTCCACAATCAACATTCTTGACACTAGCAGTCTGGAAATGAAAAGACAAATTGCATTAGGAAAATCTGTTGTCCGGGACCTCTCCAGAGTTCTAAAGAGCAATGATATCAGTCTAGAAACAAAGGCGTGTCTGATACAGGCCAGCAATTACTTGCTACACATCAGAGAGCTGGACAGTGAATAAGGATGACAGCAGAAATTGATGCCTTTTAGTTGTGGGGCTGGAGAAGAACTGAGTATCCCACGAACTGCCAAAAGAACAAGCAGGTCTGTCCAGGAGAAGGTGAAGCCAAGTTGCTCCTTGGAGGCAAGGATTTTGAAACTCTCTCTGACACACTTTGCACATGTTACCAGGAGGAGCCAATCATTGAAGAAGGACATCATGCTTGAAAGAGTGGAGAGAGAACAAAAGAGAGGAAGACCAAGGATGAGATGGATAGATAGAGTAACTGAGGTAATGGGGGTAGGTGTGTTGGAGTCACCTAGAAAAAAATGTAGAATGTACTCTAGAAAAAGGAGTAATAATAATAATTGTCTATTTTTTTGCTTTTGTGGCTCACTTCTTCTAATTTTAAGACTTCCCCAGCGTCCCTGACCAGATTGATGACGGGGTAAGCAGTGCTCGTTCTGAGCCCTGTCAAGCGATCTGTTGTATGCCTTTAGACAATGGTGTTTATTACTGAGGATGTTAGAAATGTAATGAAGGTCAAGCTCTCTTTTTTAAAACACAGTGATGCACATGATGTAGTCCACTGCACACCAGCTGCTTCAGCTCCCCTGAGGCTTCTCAGAGTTACCATGTCCTGAGCCCGCCACCAGTGGAATCAATCAGACTTCCTGGGACTCAGACCTGGGACTCTGTATTAAACTGTATTTCAGATAATGTTTGAGAAATATTGGTGTACTTAGTGTCATGGACAAAAGAATGGCATCATTCCTGCTTCTTGCTGGTCTATTTTTGGATCCTTGGGTTGAATTTAAGACTGCAAAGGAGAGAAGTGAGCAAAACCTGAGTGATCTTGGGAGGACAAAAAGCTAAGCAGTGAAATTTTTTTATCCTCCTTCCAGAGGAGCTTTTAGAACAATTGGATAGGTTATTAAACCTTCGAAAATGCAAGTATGTTTCACTGAGTGAGATGATAAGGTCGAAAGTGTATCTAGAAAATGACAGACTCAGATTACAATTATGAAAATTGCCGTGGCAAGTTCATGAAATTTTATCAAAAGTTAACATGTAATTTTTTTGCCCTGTCATTGTTTGGTCTTGTGGAAAATAAGGTGCTAAACCCAGTTAAAAGATTGGCTGGCTTAAAACGGGAAACACTTAACTGAAGAATGACATAGTTGCTTGACACAAAGTAATTTAAGAGGAGAAATGATAATGAAAACATTTAGACTCCAGGATTCCAATTAAATTACTTTAAATCAACCTTGTTAGAATTATACTTACAAGCAGGCATTCCTTGAGCTTTAAAACCTTTTGTCAGTTTTTTAGTTTACTGGTAGTATGGAAATCATAACTGCTTTATAATATTCTGTATTTAAATTTCCCATTATCTGTGTTTGTTGTGTACCATCGAGTTGAAACTGAACCATTGCTGACCTGCTGGCGGGTTTTCAGAGGCAGTTAATAGCTTGGGAGGAGATTGTCCACCCTTCTCCTGCGGTGTATATATTTAAGCTTTAAAATAATTAGAAGCCTGTAATTTTGAGAAGCCATACCTTTCTTAACTTTATAATATGACATTAGTAAATGCAGGTATTTAAAAAGTTTGGAATTCTGTTTTCCTCAATTTTTCTATCCAGATGAAAAAGCAATGATGTTCATTCAACTTGAACGATTGTATCATGAGCAACTGCTAGCAAATCTTTCTGCCATCCAAGAACAGTGGGGTGAGTACAGAATAATGTAGAATGTAGGATTGTCAGTAGTGTAACAAGTTGCCATTTATAAAGTTAAATTACTGGACTTTAAAAAAAGTCACTCAGGAAATGGGTGTTTCCACAGTGAAGTTAAATGTTGCAAGAAGTGGTATCTTACCCTAATCCCATGCTAATGAAAAGTTGTTTTCTTTGTGTTTTGTTCTTCCTATCAGTGATAGAAATCCTTGTGGTTATTTTTCTTTTTCTGCCGAGTTTGCATGCCCTCCTGGCTGATTTCAGGTCTCTCTCATTGCTGTCTATTCGGAGCTGTCTGTAAATCACACAGGAAGAGATTGTCTCCTTTTTTTCTTTTGAGCTGCTGGAGGATTTGAACTGCCAGCGAGGCATGGCCTGCTGATTGAGTCTCTAGGCTATTTATACTACTTAGCTATTTCTGTGTTACGTCTTAAGTTGTTTGAGAAGATAATTGTGTTCACGGAATCTTTATCCATGGTGCCAGTGACTAATTTTTCCCCTCTAAAGTATGCTTTATAAGTAACTAATAAATGTTTTAAATTTAGAAACAAAATGGAAAACTGTACAACCACATATGATTACACCTCAGAGGAATTCAGAAAAAGGATTTAATGGTGAAGATTTTGAACGGCTTATTAAACTTTGTACAACACATCAAGAGTAAGTATATCAGTATTTGGCTAGAATGGAGGGGATTAAATATTTTAAAAAGCATTGAATATTTGAAATACAAGGTTCATTTCTTTACTAAACAGTTAATATATGTCTCTTTCTAGTTGAAAGATTAAGCAATTATAATCCTTTGGATTAGGGAGCACTAGTGGAAATCTTAAAATCTTACTTGTAATTTTTATCTATTTCTAGTTAAAAGATTAAGCAATGAGTAAATTATGTATTAAGAGAACTTATTCCATTTCTTTGCCAGTACTTGCAACTTGTATTAGAAGCAGCATTTTTAATGGTAGTTCAATGCTAGAAAGAAAATACAGAGTTTATTCAGGATGCTGTTCGTAAATGTAGTAGATTTATATGTACAACTAGGTTTACCAGATACTTTTAAAATTAGCTTGGCTTTTATTGAGTTATATATTTGTAACTAGATAGAAATAATAAACATTTTCATCCTTTTTTAAGAAATTAGCTGTATGAGGAAGTTTAATGATGCTAGAGCATGATTATAATTAAACTGGTGCAGATTTGCGAGATTGCAAACATCAGGCCTCCTTGCAGAGGCTGAGAGCCTTCCCCGTCTGGTGGCAAGAGCAGGGCTGAGGCATTCATTGTTCCTTAGCTCATACAGCAGACGGACAGTTTGCTGTGGGATCTCCTTACCCAGAAGACCAACCTTTGAAAAATGTTTGTATTTCCAGGGATGGGTTCCCATTCCATGATGACAGATTTCTTGGGCTAATCAGTTTGAGCCTTTAAGAGAAGTATTTTCAGGGGTTCTGAACTATAGACTAAACTTTAAAAAGGTTTAGAAATAAACTCTGAAAACTTGTTATGGTGTTTAACATATTTAGTAAGGTTAACTTTCAACCCTAACATTTTTAAATAATGACTTTTTGGCAGGCAAGAAGAGTAGAAGGAAGAGAGGACCAGGCGAGGAAGGGGGAATTTGGGATTGTGTGCTAGATAATTTATGTCATTTAACAAAACGTGCTTGAATAACCATGTGGAAATCAATTTCCTTTGTAAACTTTCACTTGAATTTCAGTGATAAATATAACAGTGACAACATTTAAAATCTTTAAAATATGTAAATATCCGTTTCTAAATGTCAAAACACTCGATACACAGACTCTCATCCCCATGGAATGAGTAGTTTGTTCCTGTGCTGTAAACATTTTGACCATTCGGTGAACAAATGTTTATTTGCTATAATATGAGTGTAACATTTTCATACTTTTAAATTTGGAGAATGTCTGCAAATTATGGTTCTTGGACTTTTTTAATATTTAAAAATATTTTTTGAGAATTATATATGCAGATATTGTCAAGTTGGTATATATTCCACTGTATATATTTGTAATAACAAAAGTACTTTTTAAACAAATAAAAATAATTTTGAGTTAAAACTTCAGGTATACAAATTTGATGACATTTTACACACACACACACACACACACACACATGCACACGCACACACACACACACACACACACAGTTCTGATCCAGAATATTTCTAGAGAGCTCTCTGAGTTCTGTAACTCAGAACTGTATATCTGCCTTTTATGTCATTTCCTGTAAATGGAATGAGACAGCATGTAGATTTTATCTCATATATTATCTTTATTATATATTTCTGCATGCAGTGGGACTGTATTATTGCTGCACAGCTATTTATCTATTCTGCTGTTAATAAATATTTAAGTTCTCAATCTTTATGATTAAAGTGGCAATGACTTTTCTTTTTGTGTGTCTTTAAGTGCTTATATTTGTGTTCTGCTCTCTTGGGTGTTTACTAACTTTTGCTTTTTTGTTAATCTGTTTTCATGGTTAAATCCATGAAAATTATTTCCCACTGTAATTTACTAGAATGACATATATGGAAGTGAAGAAATAATAGTATGTATCTGTTAGTAGTATGTGTCTAATATTTACATGTGTTTTATTTTAAAACACATTATTAACAAAAAGTTAGCATTGTTTTATTCATCCGAATTTTAGCATTTGCAGTTTGGCAGTTTTCAATGGTAATTGGCTATATAAGGAAATTAACACATGATATAATTGCACTTTGAACTGTGTAAACCAGTGGTAATGTTTCCACGGTGGAAATGTTCTGTGCTAATATTAGAATCCAGAGAAGCTGTATTTTTTTAAAAGCATTTCAGAGACATTTATTTGGAAACATGTTGCTCCTATAATTTTTTAAATTCTCTTTTTTCTTCTTTCTTCCCTACAGCCCTCTTTTTTCCAAACATAAGGTAAGAGATTTTTTTTCTTTTGAAAATGTTTATAGGAAAAGCAGTGTTTTACGTCTGTTGTGTGGATTGTTTTGAGCTATAATTAAACCCTTATTTTTAGCTTGTCAATTTATATGTAAGGGTTTGCCAAACAAAAAAGTTATTTGTTTTTAACTTTTTAAGAGAGCTGCTGCAGAGAAGTGTCTGGGAAGAAAATGCTTCACACAGTTAGTGGTGTCTGAAGGCGCAGAAGAACCAGGCAGGGGCTCAGGTATGTTTTCAGTTATGTTAATGAACCTCATCTGATACCTTGCAAATGTTATCACTGAATTACTGGGCAGGAATGGTTTCTGTTTGCCTTCTTAGACGTATACCTCTTTGAGCCAACTAGCTAAGCAAGATTTTTATGTGTCACTTCATTTTTTTTCCCTTGGAGAGGAACGTCATGCTTTAGAAAATGGAGAGTCAGCAAAAAAGAAGGCGGGAATGGGCTGGGGGGGGAGGGGAGGAAAGCTTTAATGAAATGGACAGGCATGGAGACTGCACCAGGGAGCTCAAGGAGACATGGAGATGTAGTGGGGAACCGGGATCAGGCAGTGGGGTCACTGGGTGAAGGAACTGACTCAACAGTATCAAAACCTAAATTCTTTCAAAAATATGCAATTACTTCCCTGTTTCCATTAGCTGATTGTCTGTACCTAACAGAATATGTGAAGATTGTACAAAGATGCTCTGAAATACAGTTGTTGTTGTTGTTGTTGTTATGTGCCATCAAGGTACCTGAGACTCATAGCGACTCTGTGTAAAACAGCCCTAAACCCTGCTCTATCCTGTGCCAATCTCACTGTCTCTAACACACCATCCCCACTGCTCCAGCCACTGAATCAGTCCACCTCATAGAGAGCCTTCCCCTCCTGCACTGCCCCTCCACCCTCCCAAGCATGACATCCTTCTCCAAAGACTGGTCCCTCCTTGCAACATGTCCAAAGTATGTCAGACGAAGCCTCAGAATCCTTGCCTCCAAGGAACAGCCTGTTTTACCCTCTCCAGGATAAATCTGTTTGTTCTCCTAGCAGTTCATGGTATATTCAATACTTTTCTCCAGTACCACAGCCCAAAGGCATCAATTCTCCTTCTATCGTCCCTAGTAACGGCCCAGCTCTGATGCATAGCAAGTGATTGCAAAGATCATGGCCTATATCAAGTGAACCTTAGTCTCCAGAGTGACACCATTGCTCTTCAGTACTCCGGAGAGGTTCCCTAACAGCAGACTTTCCCATCACAATATGTCTTTTAATTTCCTGGCTGCTGGTGCCAAGAGTGTTGACTGTGGAGCAAACTAATGCTGTTAACAATCTCAGTCTCTTCACTAACCATCCTGATGCAATATTGGTTTTTTTATGTATTCAGGTATTTTTAGTTTGTTTAAACCCCAGGAAATACTGTATTGATCTTCCCATCAATTTGGCCTCTATAACTAGATATTTAAAGGCTTTGTCTTTGGATGTTGTTATGTGCCTTCGAGTTGGTTGTGACTCATAGCAAGCCTGTGTACAACAGCTCTGAGCCCTGCTATATCTTGAGCCAATTTCATTGTCTTTGACACACCTGCCCCCGTTTCCCCGGTCACTGAGTCAGTCCATCTCACCAAGGGTCTTCCTCTCTTGTGCTGTCCTCCACCCTCCCAAGCATGATGCCCTCTCCAAGGACTGGTCCCTTCTGACAACATGTCCAATGTATGTCAGATGAAGCCTCAGAATCCTTGCCTCCAAGGAACGTTGTGACTTCACCCTCTCCAGGACAGATTGACTTCAAAGCTTCCAGTTGCTAGCTCAGTTGTCTAACTCATCTACACCTCACCTCACTTCCAAAATGGGGGTGCACCAAGTCCTCACTTCCCAGGATAGCTTGGAGGTTTGAACTAGAGAGTTGTCTGCTTCTGTAACGTGTTCTATCTTGGAAGCCCTATGGGGCTTTGTTCTCTGGCCTCACCTGTGTCAGGATCAACTGCACGGGAGTAGGTTTTGAGTTTTGGGGCTTGTCTTTTTTTCTGATGAGGCAAGTTAAAGATAATGCCTTGAGTCAATCTTATCTTTTGTTTTTACCTCCCCTGATGCACGTGATTCTTTTCATTGGAAATGACACGAAATTCTGTAACATTCTTAAAGATGGGGAAATGTCACCAAAGAACCATATTGTGTGCTCTGGGGAGAGCTGTTCAGGGCTGTTAGTCTGGATTTGAGGTGTGGCACTAGTTGCTCCCCAGTACTATCCTGGCACCACCTCGACGGGCCACTGCTGACAGATAAGTGGCACTAATGGGGAAGCCCAGGGACCAAGTTGTCACTTGCCTGTCTCCTCAACTCACAACCTGTTTCTGGTTCATTTATTTCTAACTGACTGAGGAGTGCTTTGTGCATAGTAGGTGGTGTCGTTCATCAAAAATTCAGCAGTCCAAACAGGCTGCCCAGTCAACGCATGGATGTGGAGTTGGAAGAACACTATTGGGTTCCACGGGCTGTAGATTGAAAGGTACGAGATGACCCACCTCTCTTCCAAGGAGCGGCTGTTGGATTTGAACTGCCAGAGAAGCACAGACTCTGGGTTAACAGCACAGCTCGCCAGGGACTATGCCCCAGAGCTACGTGCTGGGCTGCTTCACGAGGGATCCGAACGACATAACATGGGAACTAATGAAGTAACTTGGGAAAGAAACCTTGTGGAAATAAATGTTTTAAAGACAAATGTCAAATTTTCCAGGGTTGAACTCCTCAGATTTGTTGTTCTGTGAATAAATAGAATAAATATAGAGAAATGCAAGAATATGAGAAAAGTGAAATATAAAAATATTGTTTTAAATTATTTGCATTTAGTTCTTTCTTCCCCTTGCTTTGCTTCATATTTCTTTCTAGAAATTCGTTGTAATAATGTCTGGCATGTGCTAGGTGCTACAGTCTCCACTCTCCTTTCTTTCTGTTTCTCCACATTCCTTGATCCCAGGCCTCTGATGTAGCATGTGACTGACAGTTCCCCTCAGTGCAGTGGGCTGACTGTGAATTGGAATCAGCTCTGTGGCCCTGGCATCTTCTATCTTTTATAGTCATTGAGGCTTTGTTCCTGGAGCCAGACTTGTCTGGTTTGAAATCTCCCTTCACTTCTTAAAACTGTGTGACCTTGGGCAGCTTGCCTAACTTCTCTGTAGCTGTCTCCTCGCTTCCCAATGGAGATGCCCCAAGTACTCACCTCCTAGGATTCCAGAGAGAATTACATGAGTCATTCATGCTAAGCATTTGGGAGGGTACCTGGCATTTACTGCTCGTATGACAAGTATTCCATTACTATGGCATTCTGCTTCCAATCATCCTACCCTTATCGGACTCTTCAAGGAATTATATAATATTTATGGAATATTTTATATTTTCAAAATATTTTCATGTGCATTACTTCATCTGTTCCTTTTAACTGTCAATGGGACATAGGAGGAATAATTTTAATTCTTTTGACGGAATTATTTTCTGCTTTTGCTTTTCTAGTTATCATGTGTTTTTAGTAATGAAAGACATGCTGAAATTGTAGGGGGACTTTTTTTTAGAAAAGGAAATACGGACTTTGATACCGTTTAGTGGGATGTGAGTGTTTAGAGGACTCTGGCAGTATGATTGGTGGGGATGCCTGGTTTTGGCGAGAGCAAGCCACACGGGTCTCCCATCAGGCAGTAAGTAGCACGTACTGGGATAACAGAATCACGGAAACCCCACAGGCTGACAACGGTGGGTGGTGTGTGTCCCACGGGCCACAAAAGGGTTCAGAATTCAGTCAGGTAACTTATTTGTACAAGCTTAAAACAAAACACCAGCTTTTTTACTCTGAGGTTCATGCATTTTTATGAACTTGTATTTTTACTTGTTTGTTTTTACTATGCAATGTTGCAAGGAGGGACCAGTCCTTGGAGAGGTACATCATGCTTGAGGGTGGTGGGACAGCACAGGAGAGGAAGACCCTCGATGAGATGGATTGACTCAGTGACTGCGGTATTAGGGGTAGGTGTATTAGAGAAAATAAGATTGGCACAGGATAGAGCAGAGTTTAGGGCTGTTGTACGTAGGGTCGCTATGAGTTGAAGGCAACTTAATGGCACATAACAACAACAACAACAAGATTATATATGTTAAAAAATGTGCCATGTGTAAGCAGAATAAAGCAAGATTCAGATCTGTTCATAGGATTGCTCACTGAGTCACAGTCACCTTGATGGCACCTGATGACAACAAGCTGAATTGTGACAAATAATAAAATGAAGGGCTGTGAACCCAACAGCTGGCTAAGGACTAAATTATTACGAATTCTGTTGGAGCTACCTTTGGGTTCCTGCTCGTCCCACCACCCCTGCCCTGATGGAACCCCTACCTACCCTGTGTATTATACATGCTGTTTTTGTGTGCCATCAAGTTAAAACCAACCCATAGCTGACCCTCCAGAAGGTTTCCAGATGCAATAAATTGCACGGGAGGAGATTACCCCTCCTCCCTCAGAGCAGCTGGTGGGTTTGAACTTCATGCCTTCGGATTGCAGCTCAGCTTTTTACCACTAGGCCCCCAAAGCTCCCAGTTGTATCATGATCACATGATTAATGATACTAAATTGGTTTTTATCATTACTGCAATACATGCTTATAGAAAATATTTTTCATTAAACATAGTAAATCAAACATTCACCTCCACTTCGTTTCCTCCAGAGCACCATTAAAATGTCAGAAAGAGATTTTTTCTCTTTTTTATTAAATTTTATTAATTTTAATGAACATTTACAGAGATTTTGGGTTTTCATTCATTCATTGTTCAGTTTAGTACATCATTTCATTTCTTGACTCCAGTTTCCATGCATGTTGATTTTTGGATCTAAGTAATAAAAATTCCAGAAATTAACCAATAGAAACTCTGTAACTCACCACCAGTTGTTGCCCAATACAGATCCAGAAAAATGAAATGCTGGTGGCATGGTGTTTAAGCACTTGGCAGCTAACCAAAAGGCTGGCAGTTCAAACTCACCACCTCTTGGTGGGGGAAGAATGTGATGACTGTTGTCCGATCCACCATGACTCAGTGAGCCTGTCAACAACCTCTTCATGGGGAAGGATGTGGTAGACTGCTCTCAGATCCACTTCAACACATAGTAGCTCTGTCAACAACATATCTGATTTCTGCCCTGGCCTCTGCTATCTTCGTCTACTTTAACCCATTGTTAGAGTCACTGTGTTGGTCCATTTTCTTG